AGAAGAGAGAGAGAGAGAGAGAGAGAGANAGTGAGAGAGAGAGAAGAAGGAGAGAGACGTGATGAAAAACAGCGAGAGCGAGGGGTAGGAGGGGGGGGGGGGGGAACACGCTAATCTACTTAATATCTCTATAAAATTATATTATTACCATATGATTATTACGTTAGATATACATTATGTGTATTGTATTTATGTCTTAATAATCGTTGTTAGTTATATCGCTACGATGATGACGATGATAATGAGCGTTTGTTATCGGTGTAGATAGAAAAGTGGGAGAATCAGAGGACACGTACACACGTACACGCGTACTATTCACAGGGGACACATAGGGAACACACACATTTACGCGATATTGGCACCGCGTGCCTATTCTCGATGATAAGACTCAATGATAAAGGAGGAAACGATTTTGATAATCGAGCATCGAACCGATTTCGAACGTTTTGAGAGTTCGAATGATAGGAGAAGTATTTTAATTGCGATTCTTATTTATATATTAAATTGAAAATATCGGGGGCGATCAGATATTAATTAAAACATTTAGCAAATCTTATTTATTACCTGTGGTATAAAATTCATTTTTAATAAATACATTTCGTGTAAATCGCGTTTTGAAATCGGCCCGATCGAGCGTGATGTGAAAATGCATTCCCGATTTTTTTACACGATCTCACCGGCAGACGAACAATATTAAAAAAAAGAAAAAATACTTTTTATTCAAGAGTTGCATTTAACCGCATTTCTAATGTTCATTAACGCATAAGGATTAACGATTCGATACTTCTTTTTTGTACTCTTTGACCGGTGAAGAAGGGGGATAAGAGGTGTTTCCAGAGAAGATATTCCAGAATGTGATTTATTCAGAATTCGTTCGATTGTGATATAAGAAAAATGAGGTGTACGTACGGCGAGGAACGGACTTTGCTTCTCCAATTGAATAATCCCTTTTAATCAAGTCGAATTCTCCGCGAATTCTCTCGTTGCAATTTACAGAAACGAATTTCTTCAGCTTCTTCATTCTTCCTTTTTTTATCCGTTTGACGAAAATGCGTTTGCCATTACATAGAATTATCATTACATGTTTACAATTCGTTGATAAAAATCCTATAGATTCGAATCTAGATTTATCGAGGGCAAGGCTCCTGTTCTTCTTCCGTCCCATAGCATAGTGTATAGTATATCACGAGAAACATCAATTACGATCATTAAAAAAAAAAAAAAAAAAATAATGTGCAAAATATCATGGAGAATTTTCCGACCCAATATCCGAATATCGATCGCCGATACGCGTATACATCTTGTGAAAATCTTTGGATTCTCGACGAAAGCCCGTGAAGTTTTCTTCTTCGGATAAAAAATCGGATCGATTTTTTCGAAGAGATGGAAGTAACCAACGAAATGGAAAGGATAATCCAAATGATGAATCCATCGATCAACTGGTGATTTAAAAGATTTTTGAAGAAACGGTTCCGGGAATACGAACAAATGACGATCGATCAACGAGTCTCTTGATCAAGAGACTCCTTTTTTTTAATCCTCTCGATTGAGAATACGCATTTCTTCGAGAGATCCAACCGGTGAATAATATAATAGAAACTATTAGATTTCGAATGTAACGTAAGAATGCACAAAAAATATTTTGTAAGATTACGGTGGGAATCGAAGGAAGGTTCGCTCATATTGTTCACCGGGAATGATCTCGCGATATGAAATACGTCGCTGTCAGTTTGAACAACGCACAATATTGTCCTTATTCGACAGCTTGTCGATCGAAAATTCAATGGGTGCGTTGATCGTCGATCCAGAGAATTGTTTGTCCCTCTCATTATCGTCGTCGTCGTCTTTTCTCGTCATTGATGATTCGCGTGGTTCATTATCATCGTGGTAGCCGCATTCGAGATCGCTCGGTGATCGCTGTTGAACGATCATGGATGGTTCGTCGATCGTGTGGCTTATCGAATCGTGTGAGAAGATCGAGTCGACGATTTCACGTTTTTTTCACGTCTCACTGTCGTGCAAAGATCTAGGATGGATCCAGGGAGCTTCAACTTTGAGGGAAAAAATGTATTAAAAAATACAAAAAAAAAAAAAAAAAAAGAAAGAAAGAAAAGAAGGGGAAAAAAAGAAACCGATCGAAAGTATAAAACATTCCTCCTCGAAATGTTACGAAATTTCTTAAAAGAAATTGGATTAATTGTCGAAATTGCAGGGAATTTCGACGACGAATAGAACGTGCCATGTAATCGTGGTTCTTAATCGATCGCGAGGGATCGTTTACGCATTCATTCGTGGTTCCAGCCGGCCGGCTGGTGATATTAACGGATATTATACGAAACGAGGGATCGTCGTTGCACAGGGCGCGCGATTAAGCAGCAAAGGCAACCCAAGAGCAAGCGAAGCGAGCAAACAAAAGCTGAACAAAATAAAGGGTAATAAACAATTCTCTTCCAATTTGTACCGAAGCGATTAAATACCGCAGAGACTGAGATTTTAGGCGAAGTTAATTAGCTCCGAAATGATCGTGGCTGCGATCGATGATGATACTCTCCTGAAAACTTCCAGGGAACTAGATACCCCCAAAATCGCAAAAAAAGAAAAAAAGAAAAAAAAAAGAAAAAAAAGAAGAGAGAGAGAGAGAGAAGATAACAAAAGCAAACGTCGTTTTTCTCGTGGACTTAGGAGAGAGGAACTAAGAGCGTTTAGAACTCTAGCTGTTTTAGAGATTAATATCGTGAACCCCCTGCGATTAGGATAAATCGATCGAGCCTTCGTCGCCACTGAGCTTCTCGAGCTTCTTCGAGATTTTAAGGGGAGTTTAAGAAAACTCGGCTCGAAAAAGAAAAACGGCAAACGACTTCATCGATTCGACCCGAGTCGGAAGAACGATGAAGAAGGCGAGTTAAAAGGGGAATAGAGGGGGATGCTCGGTGGCGCGAGGCGCGACGAGGCCGGAACGAGAATAGGCTCCCGACTTTTTGAATCGTTTTTTCTTTTCTAGGAAAAGCAGCAAGTGACAATTCGCGAATTTTCGAACGAACTTTTTTCTAGCGGACTGACGTGATGCTTGGGGTGGCGGAAGGGGTGAACGAAATCGAGGGGAATTAAAGGAGCAGAGAGAAAGGGGGAATATCGACGAACATCGCTTGTTCCACTCGGATATTGGAAGATAAGAGAGAGAAAAAAAACGATAGACACTTTTTTCGTCTCGATCCCCCTCCCGTCGCTCGACGAAGCGACTTTTTTCTCGTTTAAACAACGTGCCGGGCTTTCGAGCTTCGATCGTCTCGTCAGCTTACTCGTCGAGCGTCCAGTACACCCGCTTTTCGCAATCGTCGTATCATTACCGCACAACCCTTCCCTCCACCACACCACCTTTGTGGTTTTCTTTACGTCCTCGTTAACAGAGTCGACATTCGTCTCACGATGGCTACCCCTCCACCTCTTTTTTTTTTTGTCACTTTGTCGTGACCATCTCCACCTCTTGGTTGCCCTTGTTTCCTTCATCTTCCCCCCCTTTTGTTCCGCTTCGATTGTTTCTCCGAGTTCTCAGAAAGCTGGATATTTCTTTGATCGAGAAAGCCGGTGTACTCGACCCTGGGCCGGGTATTAAAACCAAGAAAAAAAGATATATATATATATATAGATAGATAGAGAGAGAGAGAGAGAGAGAGAGAGAGAGAGAGAGAGAGAGAGAGAGAGAGAGAGAGTNGGTGTGTGTGTGTGTGTGTTAGTAGTAGAGAGAAGAAGAAGAA